GAAAGAGTTCAATTGACCTCAAAGGAGGGAAAAAATACCCACAACCTTGGTTGCTGCAAACCTGTGCAGCTGTGCTGACCTGCACTGTCAAGAAGTAATTTAAGCGTTGTTGTAACTGCTGTTTTTTGTTCTGATTTTAGGTATGTTTCCATAAAGCCTGATAATAGAAAGCTGATTAATGGTACTAATGTGCTAGGCCTGCTGTTTGACACTTTACTCAAAGACGGATTTCGCCTGATAAGCACCAGGACAGTGGCCAGTGAAGAAAAGGTTGAATGCTACACTTTTGAGAGGATGAAGAGGCCAACAGGCCTTAGTGTCATGGTGAACCAAACCCCAGGGAGCTCCGGGATAGCACAGGCAAGGAGAAGCCAAGTGCAGAAACGGAAATAAAGGCTTTTCCTTTCATCTTTTGAAGGTGGAAGAGGGGTGTGTCAGCACTAGTGGCCTTTTTTTGTTAGCTTGTTTGAAACTGCAACTATTGAGGGAAGTAACAGACAAACAGGTTGTTTTTTTCCAAGTCTTCAGGAAAAAAATTGCTTTCCTGCCTTTTACCACTCCACCCTCTTCAAGTCTAAATAAAAGAACCACAGATTCAATACGGGGTTTGTGGACCAGTTTCCAGCATTTTCAAGGGTTGTTTTTGCAGGGTTTTTTGTGGCAAAAATTTACATGAGGACTCACAAAGCATCAGCCATTCCTTCTAGAAATTTGTTTTTATGTTCTGCACTAATCTGTAGATTTTAAAAATATGATAATACATGAAGAAATAATGGCTTGACACGACTGTCGTCCCAACAGTTTGGAGAAGTGACTGGAGGAGGAGTTCAAACCTCAGCGATTGAGTATTACTTCTACTTTTCATTGATTCTCTTGGAGTCAGCTGAAAGCAATGTGATGGGAACACCCTGCGCTGTACTGCTGTGTGGCTCTGTGAAGCCATTGCTGGGGCCTGTGGAACAGCACATTACTGTCTCCTGCAGAATACTCCTCTGTCCTCTCCCCCCACTCTGCAGACATTAAGCTGCTCTTCAGTGCTGAGAATTAAATGATAAAGGTCTTTGTGAACAAAGGGTCAGTTAATTTTTAGAGCTTTAACTCTAAAAAGGATGAAAATGTGATAAACAGTCCTTCCTTCTTCAGATGGAAGAGTTAGAACTGTTTTAAACAAAACAGTACAAAGGATTTCTTAACACTTGTTAAGTGCAGCACAGTTAGAAGGAAGGCTTGGCAGAAGTGGCTTTAAAAGCCTTGGGAGTGTTAGCCCTGTACTAAGCTTTGTAAAGATGCCAAACTCAGCTCAGGTACTGGGAGAGGTAAGTTAACGAGGCTTTATAAATTAAGAATCTTTTGTCCTCCCTTCCAGGCTGGGAAAGAAGATAGCAATAACTTCAGGGATTCATTATTTGCATCTGACTTTTGTTGTTGATAAAACACCCTCTTTCCAAAGCTACGAACAGCCCAGTAGAGCTTGTTTGGGCTTTCTTGGCTGGCCAATCAGATCTGGCTTTTCATTAGCTTTAAAATGTGAATGCATTACTTTATTTGCAGTGCTGAAAAGTGAGGGTGGGTGGTGGGACTCACCCGTCTGTTTCTTGCCTTTAGGAGTTTCAATGAAATGCATCTTCCCAGACTGGTGGTGCCACTGTCTGACATCTCTTTTCTCGGGCTACCACTGTAGTGCATTGTAGCTTGACACAAGTTCAGCAGTTCAGTGGAAACAGTGAAGTCCTCTTTGCTTGTTCTAGAGCTCTCTGGGTTGAGAATAATGTGATTATGGAACTACATCTCCTAAGCTGCTTACATGTTATGTAATACAATAAATGTTGAGGAATATATGAGTGAATGCTTTCACTTCAAATGGGATTTTTCTTGTCAATAATGTCAATATGTTCATATTTGTCTTGAAGTAAGACATTTCTTACAGTGAGAACCATCATTCACTGGAACAGCCTCCCCAGGGATGTGGTGGGGTCTCCATTGCTGCAAGTTTTGAAGAGGATGCTAAATGATCTTACTAGGGCTCCCTTTCCCATGAAAGGCCAGGCCAGATGATCATTTGAGTTGCCCTCCAGCCTGGCCTGTTCCATGGTTCTGTTCAGACCTTCTGTGAAGGTGTGTCAGAAGGCCTGTCACGGTGGGCTTTGAGGTCAGACCGCTGGCGACAGCTATCGGGGGGCACAGCAGACAAGCTGTGTGGGATGACTGTCCCCACAGGTCACTGTACTGCACAGACAACGCTACGTGTGTGAAAACAGTAATTCTTGAGTATGAGTGAGTCATTGACTGTGGATATTGTTGGTGAAGAGACTTACCAATAACAAGAAATGCAAGATAGAAAGTGACGACGTTTTACGGGGAAGGTTAAAAGACATAGACTTGAGCTATGTTTAGATATCATGCCCTAAGTAGTCACTGACAGCAGCGATGGAAACTGAGACTAGTTTCAGAACTCCTTGTAGTAACAGTTAGGCTACTGCATCCACCACAAAAGCAGTGTCTTCTTTTTTCCTTGCTGCAGCAGCCACTTTGAAAATTGGAGTTTGCATGACTTTTTTAAAAAATGAAGGAAAATATGAAATATTTTAGTCTTTAAAAAGCCCTGGAGTTTTAACCTCTGCCATCACCCATGCTCCATGTCTTTGGCAAAATGAGTATTTGGTACAATCATTTCAGTGACAACTTATGATGGACTAATGCTAAACACTTTCAGGTTCCCCTCATGGGTTAATTTTTATTCAGCACCAACATCATTCCATGAATGCAATGTTTTGGCTCTGGAAAAATATACCAATGCAAGTTCCTGTCATATAAAGAACTGTACTCACTTTACCTCGACCTTGGGTGATGGTGTACTGTGAGACTACGCATCTTTTTGAGGCGAAGCATATGACTGTCAGCAAGTTTGGATTCCCAGAGTTCTTCTAGCATTTATTCTTACTTGGCACTGAGCTGTGAAGTGTCACCTTCTGTCACTTGTGTGGCTGTGGAGAACATGACTAGGTTCTTATACAACACTTTCATTTTGTTGCTGTTGTTTTTTCTTAACTGATGGTTGCTTGAATAAGTTTGAGGTGTGTGTGTGTGTGTGTGTGTGAAGAACCTGATAGAAATGTGTTGAAAGTGCCTGATACCAGTAGGATAACCATGACTTTTAACTGAAGATTAATTGAATTAATTCATTTAATTGAGCTGGTTCTTCAAAGAAAAGCACCTTCCTGGATTTCTTCATACAGAAAGTGGAAGCAGCGATGGCAGAGCTACAGGTGATGTACCTTCAAGTTACAACTAAATAGCAGTAACTGTGAAGGAAGGGGTGAAATTATGTTCATTTTCAGGCAAAATAGTATGAAAATAGCATCGACTTACTCGGCAGATCTTCAGCTGGTATCCACCTTGCAAGGTTTATGCTACTGCAAAGTGATGCTGAACCAGGATAGCAATTTTTCTGTGCCCTCTTTGGAGTGGGTATGCAGTGTAAGCTGCAAGTACCGAGACAGGTGTTTAGAAGTAGTGCTCAGTATTTTTACTGCCCCTTCCCTTCTGAGGTCCTGAACGAGCAGGGGTGCAGCAGAGAGCAGACTGTGGTGTGTGCTCAGCAGAGTGGCTCACAGCAGTGAGTTTGCACAGAAGGTAACAGCTGCACAAGAAGTGAATTTGGCTGATGAGAACTACGAGTCTGAGTGATTTTAAAAGCTGCTTGGTCAAAACCAGATGATGTGCTAAACCAAGTACTTTCACCCAAATCTTGGCAGGCAAGTCGACTCTGGTATCTCACAACACAATCTCTGCTAGACTAGGAGCGTGTTGTAGGTGACTTGCTCATGCTTTTACAAGTGACAGAACCAGAAGCTCTGATTGCTCGTATCTAGCTCTGTTTTTCATTAAATAGGAATGGGATTTTGACACATTTAGACTTCTTTTTTTCTCCAATGAAGTGATTTGTTACTCCTGACATCATCTATTTCTTCAAGTCATTGCCAGCTTTCTCAAGATAATTCCTTTTTTTCTTGGGAAGATGCAAAATTTGCTGATTCCAGTAAACTTAATTGCTGTATTTGCCTTTTTATTCTTTCCTGGATTCAGCAGAAATGTGCAAACTGTGCCACTGCCTGAGATGCTGGAAAGGGACTGCCGCAGTGCTGGGGCAGCCCCGCGCTCCCAGCCAGCAGTGAGCTCTTTGGCTCTTTAGCAGGCAAGCAGAGAGCCACAGCAGTGAGGTCACTAGAGGAAAGGAAACTGAGTGGTAAGGTAACAGCCAGCCTGTCCCACACGGACTGCAGTTTACATGGCAGGAGTAGCTATCTAAAAAGGTGATAAATTGCTGGGTTTGCAAAAGGCAGATGATTCAGAAAGGCAACACCTCATTTGCTTTGTATTTTCTTTCTTATTTTAATCACTTTTCCCTCCTGTATAGCTGGATTTCATCCTGTATTTCTATGTTTAAGACTGTCAAGGGCTTTACCTGTACAATCTTGTGGTGCCTGTTGGATATCCCAATGGGATAAAAGCACCACACTTTTTCCCTTCCCCCTCTTCTTGCACTGAGTTGACTTCCCTTTGTAGTGACTGGTTACATTTTTGTGATTTTAAGTAACTTTTTGTCTGCTTCTTCACACATTGGAGTTTTCTTCTGTCCTTATCTCATCTGGGGATATGTCAAGGGGTAATGGGTTCAAGCTGAAGGAGGGGAAGTTTAGGTTAGATATTACAAAAAAGTTCTTTACTATAAGGTGGTGAGACACTAGAACAGGTTGCCCAGGGACGTGGTAGCTGCCCCAATCCTGAAAGTGATCAAAGCCAGGCTGGATGAGGCCTTGAGCAACCTGATCTAGTGGGGAGGTGTCCCTGCCCATGGCAGGGGGCGTTGTGACTAGATGATCTGTAAGGTCCATTCCAACCCTTAAATTCTATGATTCTGTGTCATGTATTTATCACCTGAATTGTTCAGTAACCTGCTGATAGCAGGAAGGAGAGTTTGTTGTGAAATGCCTTCTTGTTCTTTGTGTACTGATGGCAATATGACAGTTCAATAGGGGTTTTGTTTCTTTGGGAAGTGCAATCACTGCATTCTTACAGGTTTTGCAGTCAGTGCTCATGTGATTGTATAACTGATTAAGAATAGATATTTAAATAAAGCTATTGAAATTGATACTATAGACTAAGATACCATTTAGACTAAGACTGACCTCTTTGCACTGGCCTCAGTACTGGGAAGTTTTCCCCTTTCCTAAACAATTCCAAACCATTTTTCATTTCCCTGCATAATTGAATTTGATGGAAATAAAAGGAGACTCCTCCCCAAGATGCTGTCTAAGAGGAATTACTAGCCATAGGGCAAAAGGATGATGCTGGAGTAAATGCATTGTGCCCTGCTTCTACAGGGGTAGTGA